TCATCCACTTACATCTCTGTATTACAATAAACTTATTTTTAGTTCAACTTGTACGATATATAGTTTATTCTACTATTAATTATGTATATGGGCGATTTTTTTTAGATTTTAGTGAGAATGGAGAGCTCATGAAAAATAGCTTGGAATAGAGCTTAAAGCCCAGCAACATCTCCTTCAAATCAAATTGTTACTCTGATTGAAATTTAGCGGCTTTATAATATATTCACTCAATTTTTGATATTGGCATGGGAATATTACTGAATTGAGTTTGACATATACTCATTGCATTTAATATTACCATTGTATTATGTATTTATTTGTTAATACTATTACAAGTTTTAATTATTACTTTAGTACCGTGTATTCAGTTTTTTGTTTTTTCTGAATAGTCAAAAACCGCAATAACTAACTTAATCCACTAGCCTAGTTTATTTTGTACTCTGCTAATGTTTCATGTCACTTGATCCTCATTTTACGTTATCAGCTTACTGTGGTTACTTACTAGATATAAATATATTTTTGTATTTTTACTAGGTTATCTTTCATAGCTTATAAAATAATTTTTGTATGATGTAATATTTGCAATACTTTTATCTACTTTTACTATCTCTAGCTGTTTAACGCGTATTGTTTACGTTAAATTTAAATGTTTATTGAGCATTGACGTACTAAGCCTGCAAATACAAATCAAAAACATAAAGGTTAATAATACAAGTAGGATTGCAATTTTTGGCTTAGTAAATTAAAACTTTTAGTATAATAAACTGATTTTAATAATTATATTTAATTATAAATATAATATACTAAAATATTTCTTTTATACAAATTTAAATTTAATTATAATTTAATAAATAATTGAATTAAATATAAAACAAATATAAAACTATTAAATTATATTATTATATACAACCTAATACCATAAAAATGTAATCAAATATAAAAACTATTATGTTCATAGTAATATTATTTTTTAGGATAGGGATTTATATATAGTTTAATATATTTTAAATTATTATAATTTATAAATTCTAACAGATATTTAGATTAAATAAATATTAATTACGATATACTTTATTATT